ATATATATATAATTATTATATATATGAAAATAGAAAATATACGTATATATATATATATATATTATTACACACACACGTGTGTGTGTGTGTGACGCGCGCTCTAGTGTGCAGAAAGTAGGGAAATGATAGTAATGGTAATTTTTTTTTTTTTATATATATATATATATATATGTGTGTGTGTGTGTGGGGGGCGGGTAGTGTAATGGATAATTTTTTTTTTTTTTTTAATATATGTCAACCAACTTTCCTAGCAGTAGATTGATTCAATATAGATCATTCCGCTTCATGTCGGTGGAAAACTTGGGCCGAAGAAATCGCAAATAGTTGCTCTTCTGAGTTGCTTTTATTTCTCAACACAACCTCCCACCCGCCCCCGCTTGCTATCAAATTTCCCTTTTTTTAAATCACCTTCTTTTTTCTCTTTACTTTTTCAGTCAGTTTCATGCTCTCACCCTCCTCTTCTACATCCTTCCCTATTTCTTTCTTTCTTTCTTTCTCTGCTTTCACACTTTTCTCCTCTCTTTCTCAGTTTGTCACAAGCGCTTTTCTTTTTTTTTCTTTTTTGATTTTCAAAAGTGTTAGATTGAAACGCTTCTAGCGAATTGAAAACCATTTTTGTCATATGTCGTCAACTCTGAATACCAGACATTTTCTTTATAATGAAAAATCAATAAAAGGTAAATTCTTACTAATGGTAATGTTAATATTAGCCGTTTCCATATAAGGAAACATTTGGCATTCACTGACCGAGCAGCCAATACTATTTTCGATTGAATTTTATAAATTATTTCTCTTAAGACAGTTTTTTAGTAATACATGTTTCGCAAGTCCAGCAGTAGTTATCATTCTTTCTAGTACGCCTTTTTAACCTTCCATTTCAAGTAGTGTGGAATGTTAAAATCTTTCATTCTCTCTTAGAGTTAGATGGGCTATCTATTTCAATAGTTGCTGTTGTTGATAGTCCAGGTGATGTGGTTTCTGTTACGTCGTACAGGTCTTTGTTTTTGATTGTGCAGCGTCAGGCCACAATGTTCAAAGAAGGGTGATCTTTGCCAAGATCCTCAGGCTTTACCCGATAAATTTTACTGATGTCAGCCAAAATGCACAACATCCACTACACCTCGACGGCCAGAAAGCTTACTATTGACCGGGTGCACTATTCTGCAGCCTTTTATCAGACAAAAATAGTTTAGTAATTACTAACAGTTTGCAAAAGTCGGCATCTATCTGTAAAATCATGTCTGTCGCTAAACGTTTCTTCTTCGTTTGTAGGGAAATTGTCCAGTAGTCAGTGTCATATAGGAGAATGACATAGTGATTTCGTATTTACTTTTTCGTTTCCAGCCACATTTTCCTTTCCTCCAATACTTTGTTCAGTTTCTGGCAGGTAACTTTGGCTCTTACAGTGGCCATTCGGATTTCCGCGTTACATTTTGCGTCGTCTGTTCGGGTACGATCACCGAAGGTAAACAACATCGAGCCTGATCGGTATCATAGATGAGTGATCGCTTGGGACTACCAGTTTGTTATAGTGAAACACACCTATTCTATAGTTAATAGACTCTCCCACCTATAATAAATAGGAGTAGTAGCAGTTGCTCAGTGAGTTGGTCAGTCAGTCGATGTCGGACGACCGTTAGTCGGATATTAAAGTATCAGCCACCACAACTAGATTACTGCGTCATTACCTATTATATCAAGTTCCTAACGTTTTGTACGTCGAACCTATTTTAGGACTGACTTAGTACAAATACAAGCCTCCACTATATATATAGCGTTTCCCAGCTTTTTTTTTTAAATCATGACATCGTCTGTCAGTTTACACCACTAGTTCTTGTCATAAACTATTAAAACAAAAAAATGCTTTGAAGGAGAACTTGTAGGGAGAGAAATAGAAATCCATCATTGTGACATCACTTGAGCAAAATTCGGTCGAACATGCTTAGGAAAAATGTACGCTAGTAACTTCTGCCATCTATTAATTTTGAGAAAAGAGAAAAATAATTCAACTATCCGGCAAAACACTGTACGTGAAGTTTAGCATCGTCTGGCAAAGGGCCAAGGATTTAAGAAGACCAAACACTATATTACAGTGATTTGCACAGGTCTGCAAGTCATTGATACACAGTAGGCATCAGTGTGCAAAATATTTAAGCTTTTATCGTCACACAGCTAAAAAAAATGTGCGCCCGATGACAATTGAACTTTTTACAGTGGCAATGATTTGTGAGTATGTTACAAATATATATCACTAAGGTCGGTGTACGCCATAAAAAAACTCAAGACGAATCCTTACAAACAACAAAAGAAACCGCCTTTATCTGCAAGATCTGCGGAGAAACAGCCAATCAGTGGTCAAGTCCTTCTTGAACTTCCGAAACTAGTGTTCAGTGCTGAAAAGGAATTTAACGTTCAACAGTTGTATAGCTGGACACTCGTATTCGAGGATACCCGTCTAATAGGGCGACAAGCCAATCTTTATTACAGACACTTGCTCAGGCACATTTGTATTTGATCAAAACCGACAGAGCCCACCTGTGGTTTATACTGCAATGATGCTAAACTGATCTTAGTTACAGTTTCTGGGAAAGAGCATGTTATCTAGCGTGATCAAGAATTTGAACAAGGGCAGCACGCGCAATCCCTCGGCCACGATGACTTGGGATTTCGTGTTAGCATAGCTATCGACGGCTCCCAAGAGGTCCGTCTACCCAATTCCACTCACAAGACTTGCTTGCTTGGGTCAACCCGTGATATGTTCTTCAGGAACTTTCCAACTTACTACGCTGGGATCGATCTCTCCAGTCCGATAACATCAGGAATTCGAACATTCTAAACACTCGGCCACGTATATATATATATATATATATATATATATATAAGAGAGAGAGATTCTCAAAAATGTATACACACTTTTACAGTGTATAGCTGAAGTCAACTATTTTCAGATTTACACGTTAGTGTTTCTAATGTCTCCCAGGCTTAGCTTTAAACAAAGAAAGTTAATCATGAAATGTTATTGAAAGTACGAAAATGAAGATGAAGTTTAGAGGCGATATCAAAGTGAGTTCCATTCAGGTCCACCTATGCGGTTCACAATCTCACGAATTCCAGATAAGTTTAAAGCTGATGGCATTGTACACGAAGTGCACAAGAAGCTTTCTCGAAGATCAAGGATATTAATCACACCCAGTGAAGCAAGAAAACATGGTGGAAAGTTTTCACAGAAGTTCAAGAAAACTGTCGGAATGTTGACGGCTGCTTGTGATTCCTTTGCATCGCGTTGTCAGCAATATCTGGATGATAACGGACATCAATTTAAAAACATGCCGTAACAAAAAACTTAAGAGCATGCGTTTCATTAATGTATTCATATACATTACTGTTCTAGTTGCTGGAATTTTTTTTTTTTGGAGAAAGATTCAAATTGTGTATACATATTTTGAGACCTCCTTTGTATACATTCTTTTTATCAAAAGCAACAGACGTATTGTGTCGATTAATTTTACTGATCGGCTTTTCTGAATTATGAATAATCCTATTCTGACAAGAGGTACATTCCATCAGAAATTATCCGGAGTTCATTTCGGAGGAAAAGTACAAGAATACAGTGCAAGCTTTCAACTTGCGAAATAGTAGCAAAATAAAATAGCAAAAACAGACGTATGATCCTTGAAGCAATACTCATACAACAAAGACAATCATCTAAAAATAAAAGCAATTTTAAAACGTCTCCAGAAACATATATAAAAAAAATCAAAAATAAAACGTCGCACTTCGCTTATGTCACACCATTCTTTGCCTATGTAATAAGATTCCATTTCTATGAAACTTATCATTGTTTCTACCTATCCCGATGAGGACTAGAAGAAGGTTGACAACTTGCACCATGTTTCTTGTACTTTTCTTCCGAAAGGAATGAATAAGACAAAAATTTCCTTCTTAGGATTATTCGTAATTTGTAAAAGTAGATCAATAAAATTAATCGATACAAAACGTCTGTTTTTAATATTTGCCTTAAAGAACATTTTCTGTCTAATTACACAGTGTGTATATATATATATATATATATACACATACACACACAGTGCATTGCAAAAGTCTACACTGAAAACTGGTTGTATTTTGTTTATTTTGATAAGAACAATTAATATTTTAAACTCCAATAATTTGTTTTAATAAGCAGATCTATCACATATGAAAAATTTAAAATTGATTCTTAAAGATAATTTTGAAAAATGTCTTTGCCAAAGTCCTTTTGGAATGTCTTCAGCTAATACTTTATGGATGATCCTGTTGCGTCAATTACAGCCTGCAGACGCCTTGGGTAGCCTTCCACAAGCTTGCTGCAGTGGTCTGCTGACAGTTTTTTGCCATCGTTCATGGCAGAACTTCTCGAGCTATGTCAGATCGGATGGGGAATGTCGGTGCACAGCCAGCTTTAGATCTCCCCATATATGTCCTATAGGACTGAGGTCTGGAGACTGGCTGGGCCACTCCAAAACTGATTTTCTTGCTAGCAAACCAAGCTTTAGTGCTTTTTGACACATGCTTGGGATCGTTGTCTTGTTGAAACTTGAAATTGCGACCCAATATTTTGTTCGCACGAGATCAAAATCTACACACTAACAGTATATGTGGTAATATTTTAAAAAAATGTTTTGCTGGTAATATTTTTTTTTTAAATGTTTTGCTTGTAATATTTTTTTTTAAATGCTTTAAATTTATTGCTAGCAACAATTTTTTTATACAAAGTATTTCTGGTATTAAAACCCATTTTTTACATTTTCATAGTATTTTTGGAGGGGGTTAACTATTTGCCCATAGTTGGGACCCTAACAGGTGCTACCTCCCCGGATCTGGGTGAACCTGAGAACACCATCAATTAAGAGGTGGTTCCACGCGCCTCAAAACCTCTTAATCAGAAATCCTTGCTGTTGGATGCAGTTTATCGTCTTACCCAGAACGGGGATTTATATTGAGAGATTCTTAATAAAAAACCAAAGAGTTAGCATTGGTAGTGATCCTGACATGGCACTTTCCCCACCTATATAATTATAACGTAGCTTCCCTGTGCCTTTTCTATAACTACTTGCATGGCAATTGTTCGGACGAACTTCTAGCTCTGGTACCTAAACTTAATGAATTTTAAGCGCAGCACTAGATTGGCGGCAAGGTCTCATCATTTTAGAGTTGAATTGGCTAGCTGTAACCATGAGTTACATGCTAACACTCTTTTCTCGCATTTCTCTTCTGGTTCTATGCTTTCCAACTAACTTTGATCTCCAAAAATTTAAATGCAATGTCAATCGTTATCCAATGTTTCTCTGTTTTCTTGTTCTTTTACACCCAATAGCACCTTGTGTCTTAGTGGCTTTACTGCCTTGTTTTGAGGTGAAATTATTATTTTTTTTCTTCTTTTAGCTTAGAAATACCAAAGATGAAATTGTTAAAGAACTTTAAATTAAATTCTGTTTTTTGGGGGGGTTCTCTTTCTTTTTTTTTTGTCTGTTCTTCAATTTTTCATTTTAATATTACGCAATTTCAGCGGATAGAATTTTTTGGTCAAAGCTAAAAGACGCCCGCTGTTTACTCAAAATGGCAAAAAAAAAATCTGTCTTATTAATAAAAAAAGAAGGAAAAAATCGAATTTCCACCATTTTGGAAAGTTTCGATTATCCTGATTGGACAGGAGTAACATCTACGTGACAAGCAAATACTTCAGGGCGTGAATGATACTTGCTCTCCACAACTTCCTATCATTTGTTGCTCTTTAGCAATGCTCGCCTTTTTACTCACACTCCAAGACCCTGTACTGCCGTCCGTTTACACAAGCTCTTACGATAGGTTAATCACTGTTTTCCTGTGGGTGTCATATTCCCCAAGCCTTCTTTCCTCATCATGTGTCCCAGAAATTACAGTTGTCTCTCTCTGAATACAAATGTGCTTTTTGTTTACAATTTTCTTTAAATTAACTAGTTTCTTACGTACTCCGTCTATGGTGACTTACGGCCATATCATACTGAAACCTCATTTCCCGTACGATCACCGAAGTTAAGCCAAGTCGACCCTCTTCAGTACCTAGATAGATGACCGCTTTGGAATGCCAGGTGCCGTAATGGATAATAACTAGAAATTGTTAATCAGAGAGCCAAGATCCAATTCTCGTTGGGTTCATTATATTTACTTGCGCGCAAATACCCTTGCGAAAAGGTATGAATCCACCTTTTCTCCCCCGAGCTATGGGTTAATTAGTAAGACTAGCATCACTAAATCATTTTTATCTACAAAAAAAAACAAAAAAACCTTACAATCTAAAAAAAAAGTAACGATGGAAATTCTTTTTCCGGCTATTTTAATCCGACCAAATTTTATTAAATTATTTCCTTCACATCTTATTCAAAATTATTAAAATCTAAAAATATTTTCTGGCTTTAAATAACCTTTAAATGGTTGATAGGCTTTAAAAAGGAATCACTACGAAGTGCGATGGGTAAATTGTCGCCATCTTATATGTTTAATTTCACGCGTGCTCATTGCTTTTGATGTTGTCGTCTGCACAGTATATTAGAATAAGTTGGGTACCGTCTGTCAGAAAAAAAATTGAGCTCCATGACGTAATTCACTTCGCCAGGAATTTGGAAACGGCATGCTGAACTGCTTGGGTTTCGCGCCGGGACCTCCAATACGGATATTTCAGAGTGTTTGGGTGGCACTCTGAGGACAGTGCAGAGGATTTGGAATGAGCTGGATGAGTCTAATGATGATCAAGAAGGTATGGGTGCTCGGAAAACTAACTCTGATTGTTCTGATAAGGTAAAAAAAAAATCTCGAATTTGTTGAAGGCCTCAGACTCAACATGGAGGCCCATACCAAGTGCCTTGAGGAGGTAGTGCTGCTCTAGGTCAGGAGGGTGGCTGCTGGTAGACCCTATGTCTAGCAACAGGACTCTACACCATGTCACACGAACATGGCTGTCAGACAATTTCTGCGAGCACATCAATCCTTAAATCTGGACACCTATCTCCCCAGCCTGAATTTATTGAATAAATTTACTCTTTCGTATTTCAAGATATTTTTGTGTGATTTTGGTATATATATATATATATATATATATATATATATATATATATTAAAATTAGATGTAAGAATTATTTTCAGTTTTGTGTCATTTAGACGAAAATTTACCCATCGAACCCTGTATATCTTTCGACATTCTTGACAAAATTCAAATGGTCAGTAATGTAAGTGATCCTTTGATCAGGGTCAGTAATGTAAGTGATCCTGACCTGGCGTCTCGACTCAACCCATTTTACCACCGACGCGACGTGGTTTGAATATTTTTTCTACAAATATTTTCATGGCAATTATTCTGGTGAGCTTTGTTTCTTGATACCTCGATTGCATGAATTTAAGTGTGCTACTAGATTGGCAACTAGGTCTCAGTTTCACTGTTGGACTACCTAAATATAACCGTATGTTCTAATCCAGTAGTCTCTTCGCTCTCACTTCTTGTCTGTGGAACGCTCTTCTGGCTCCTTGCTTCTTTGCCGACTACTACCTCTAAAAATTTAAAAGCAACGACAATAGCCATTTTCCTAAAACCTTTTCTTTTATTGTACTTTCTCGTCAGTAAAGTTTTCTTTCCTTCCCGGTAATATCTTCCATCCTAGTGGCATTATCGCCTTCCTTGGCTTGAAAAATAAAGATAATAGTTTAACTCATTCTTGAAATAATTAATTTCAAAATTTCATACAATTTTTCAGTCAATGTTGTACAAGTCAGACGATGAAAATATTAGTCCGACCAACTCTCAAATTAATGATAACTTTTTAGATTTTCTGAAAATATTTAAAGATTCTTTTTTCTTTTCTTCCATAATTACCCGGAAGTCGCCGTTCACTTATTCGACTTCGACATTGTTCGTAATTATTTTTAGATTTTGCTCTTACATTTCCATCTAAGAAGTTTGCAAATTATCATTTCATACCAGTACTGATTGACCGTCCATTCGGATTTGTCAATTATATCCAATCAGCATTCATTGTTGGCTCACATTTCTTCCGATAAATCGTCCTAATTCTACGCCTTCTACTAATTACGACTCCACTTGGCTCTGACACCTGTTCTGCTTTGACAAGTCACACGCATGCGCACAATATTTCCGCTATTCTCTTTTAAAACCGTGTTCAGTTCTCTCTCCAGCATTAACATTTTGTCGTTTCTCTCATTCGATATTCACTAGTTTCTATCTTCTGGCACGAATCACCATTAGAATAACCCGATATATGAATAATCATCATAAACATCTGAAGCCCTCAATTCGATTACGATTCTCATCTCCTGTTCAGGGTAGCATTTCCTTTTCTATCATGTGTGGGTATCGTAGATTTTTTTTATAGTTCTATCAGCGACTTGGAAAAATTAGTTTCGGAAAATGAAATCGGATAAAATTCCGCTTTGTGAAATTTGTCGCCAATAAGAAAAAAAAACAAACTTGGTTACTGGTACTGTTACTAAAATCAATTTTATTTTGGCCATTTCATTCCCAGCAAGGCAATAAAGACTCAATGGTTTACTGAGTTTGAGAGAATTTGAGGAAAAAAAACAAAAAAAACACACACACACACACACAAGGAGAGACAATAAAAGTACAGGAATTAAGAAAACAACAGATAACGATTGACATTGCTTTTAAATTTTAAGATTAAAGTTGACTGGGAAGGAAAAAGCCGGAAGAGAGTTTGATGTAATGGAATAATCTGTCACCCTCATGATTGACTACGCTATAGATAGTAACTAGGTAGTTATTACCTATAGTGTATCTGTAAGTCAACGGACTACAAAGTCGTTGAAATCTTTTTCTGTACTGTCGAACTCTCTGCCTTCGGGCAGAGTGGAACCTGAACGAGGCTATGCCGAAGGGTAGAGTCTCGTTCGGGAAGGTAGACAGACCAGATTCCGTTCATGCGGGGTCTACGGGGATTTTTTGGCCTAGCCTGTTGGTTCGGGAACCCCGCATGAAATTCAGCCTTGTGTCACATGTGACTGCGTGGGGCAGTTACTAGATACCGTCTAGCTGGAATCTTTTCCAGCTGTGCTGGTCAAACTGCCTCCGAGCAGAGAGGATCCCCAGGCGAGCTATGCCGAAGGGCAGAATCTCGTATCGGGGTATTTATGCAGGGTCTACAGGATTTTTGGCGGGCTTACGGATCGGATTTCCCCACATTAAAATTCCGGCCTTGTGCCCATCCTGCACCTCGTGAAAGGCTGGCTGGAATCTGTTACTCAGCTCTTAGCTGTTTGTCGAACTTTCTGCCTTCGGCAGAAGAACCCGGACGAGGCTATGCCGAAGAGCAGTCTCTCGTCCGGGGAGGTAGACAGACCTGAATCCGTTTATGCGGGGTTACGGAGAATTTTTGGTCGAGCCTACGGGCTCGGATTGGCCCACATTAAATTCAGTCTTGTGCCACATCCTACCGCGTGGGGAGGCTGGTAAATATTTCTAGCTGGGATCTGTTGAGTATGACTGAGAGTTACGAGAGGACTACCGACCTCACTGCTGGATTGACTTGCGACGACCTTGCGCATAACCGTTACCTTTATTCTTATTGTACTGTTTTTTACGGTAAACCTTTACTTATTTTATCCGCCGTGTTTGTCAAATAGTACGGAATATAACAGTTATATGAGCGAGAAGTGCGATAAAAGAAACTGATAGCATAGAATCTACGGTTAAATCTAGCCAGTTCAACTGTACAATGATGCGACACTGCCGTAAATGTAGTACCGAGTTTAAATTCATAAAGTATTGGTACCATAGCGGAAATTTCATCAAAACAATTACCAGGAAAATATTTTTATCGTACTTGACCATCATAAATCCTAAGCGAACAAATGTATATTGCTTTTATAGTAAGCGTTTGCTAGATTACTCTAAGTACCTGAATTTTACCTAAGATAGAAATAGCGTATCTTTAAATAATGCTTTATTGAAGAGAATATAATGATAGATGTACACACAAGACCGACTTAGATAAAGACAATATTATTGTTACTGATTGAGAAAGCAGTACGCTAACAAAGTGACTATGGTGTATTGCGGGCGTATGATGATCGAGTGTTTAAGTGAAAAACACGTGTCTCCTGGTATATTGATTCCATAACAAAAATGGCGAACTCGGTACACTAAAACTATACACAGGGTGTAACAGCATAATTGTCCATCCCATAAAATGTTTAATGTCTTTAAAAAAAAAAAAAAAAACTTACTGTATTTTATTCAGGTTTTCAGATAAGACGTTTAACCATCTTGACACCATTTTTCGTAAGAATCATTGAAAACCACTGTTGTGTTATTTAGCTAGAAAGAGAACAGGTTAAAATCGTTTGTCTTCCCAAATGGTGAGAAGAAATTGCTAATTTAGGCCTTCAGTAATGGTACCAACATTCATATTCTGGCTTCCATCTTCAAAGTCCATTCAAGAACCATCAAGAGAACAGGGAAAAACAACAGAAAGAGGATCATCATTTCAACTTAAAACTAAAAAGATCAATTAGAAAAGATCCAAATCAATCCATAAGACTTTTGGCACGTGAGAGAAGAGTTTCAGCAATGGCAATCCAAAGAACATTTAAAGTAAAATTGAGAATGAAATCGTACGTGAAACTTGTGAGGCAACTTGTTACACGAGGACAGAAATTTCGCAAGTTAGAGAGGGCGAAGATCACCTTGAATAAGATCCTGGAATAATATATATAAAAACTTTATTTCAACCATTTATAAGCTTCCGATTCTTAGCTATGCTTAAGGATGACCGTGTCATTTTCGTTTATGATCGATTTTATCATGATTCTTCTGTTAAGCTTGGAGAGTAATTATACATTCTTATTAGTCAAAGTAGAGTCCAATAGTGTTATAAAAACCTGAAAATATTCTAGGTTTTTCCATTTAATCATTTCTACGTTCAAAGCTTAATTTAACAAATGAACAATTTTGCTGTTACACCCGGTATATATAAACAAACGATAAGTATGTATTAACAAAACAAAGGTATACATAGATATAGAATATGGTTGCGTGTTACAAAACATTGAACATGGATGAAGAAAACATTTA